AGGTAGCGGCCATTTTTCAATGTTCTTAAAAAGTGCGGTTACACCGTTTAGGAAGCTTCGTAATCTTGTGAATAGTTGAGTATTGGACTCAGCGTCCACAAAAACCTATTACACAAGTTTTCTCATTTTTTTAAAAATTTTGAATTGGCAGCTTTTCCCACATTGACACCATATCTTTCAAGTTTCTACCGTAACCTACAGTAATGAAAAGAGGTTATGATTCGTTCTATAATGCAAATCTAAGTTGAAGCCGGCTCTACAAAACGGTTCCTGAAGCAAGGCAAAAGACTTCTTGGGAAGAGAGATATTAACGATCAAACAGTGCATACATACTTTTGGGACACCCTGTATATTGAGATTCTTAATCTGCTTTTATTCCCAACCAGCTGTTCACATAAAGTATTTTTTGTGCAGAATTGTAACATTTAGTTGCACCATATATTCATGTTGAGTTATAACATAGTATTCTAAGCCCAGGCATTACATTTCCGGAGAAGCAAACGTCAAATCATAATCAAATTAGCTTAATGTTCATTACAATTCAGAAAGGCTTGAGGATCTATTTTCTGTTAGCACAATGAAAGTCTAAAGATAGTTATTACGGAACTATTAAATGTAAGCGTTGTCAAAGAGCATAGCAGTATTTGTATTACGGTGTCTCAGTTGGATAAATCTTGAAATGTGTCCTTTTTCTTTCTTGTGTATGTCAATGCAAGTTTTTCTTTAGATTGAATTCTATGAGAGCTCAATCGCGTTTCTTTGGTGCCCTCTGTTTTATTGTGCTTACAACACTTATAATATACAACATTACTCAAGCAATCACTTGCACATCTTTCACTTCAAAACTGGAAGTGCTTCGTAGCAAAGGTATGTGTTTCCTCATAAAAACCTTGGAAAAAACGAATAACGAAATTAATAAGTTGTGCGTTGCTGTTCTGTTTGCCGCGCCTCGACTCGTCTAGATCTTTAACATTGTCGACATTTTTTTATTTTCCAGGTGATCCCCAACTCCACATCATTGAGAATATCAAAAGTAACAAGTATGACACAGCTCCTTTTAACAGAAGTACTCTTACTCCACCTTTTTATCGGTACAGAGCAAACATGCAGGTATTTACTCAAACATAGCTGTATTTATGCTCAATCTTATACGCAAAACCGAATAACCGTTTGCGTGTTTGTACGCGTGTGTGTCTCACGATACAAAAATTTTTTATTTGAGCAGATCCGAACAGGTAGATTGTATGTCTCCTTTTTGTAAAACCTTGCATGTTTTGTAGATATTGTTCAATTTTCTTTGAGTCGTAACAGGTTTTTAAAGGAACACTTTATCTACTGCCCATCGTTTCGGCTAATTGCCGTTCTCAGGAATGAAAGCGAGTCAGTCACAGAACGAACATTTGTCTATCACTAGTGTTTGAAGCCGTTTTTACCATTTTGCGAGCTGAGAGTAGTCTACACTATACAGGGTGTCCCAAAAAATGTATCGAACGTTTGATCTTCAATAACTTCCCTATACTGAAAGTTTTCGCGGATTTTTGAGGGACATACGGTAGAGCTGGGTTCAACTTAGATTTACAATATAGAGCGAATCATCTGTCGCCCTTCGTTACTGTAGGAACACGTTACGAACTTCGACAAAGATTTAAGCCTATTGGAGGCTGTATTCTGCCTCGGAACAAGACCAAACAAGCCAAAAACTTTTACACTACGGTAATGGAAGCCGCTGATTTCGAATTTGAAATTTCCATTTTACTGTGATGCTTCTTTCCTAAGTTATCCCCGGTAAATCGTAGTAACTCAATTCCCAGATTTGTCAGGAATGTGATTATACCGTCAAAATAGCCGAAAACACTTGTAAAAATTGTTAGGTGGAATCAGCATGCGCGAAAACCCTTATACACGATTTTTTAGATTTTTTGAAGAAAATTTTGTTAGGTGGTGTATTTCACATTGGTTCCATATGCTGGAAGTTCGTACCGTAATTCTACAGTAATGAAAAGCGACAGATGATTCGCTCCATACTGTAAATCTAAGTTGAACCCAGCTTTACCGTATGACACTTGAAGATCCGCGAAAGCTTTCCATGTAGGGAAATTATTAAAGCTCGAACGTTCGATACATTTTCTCGGGACACCCTGTATAAGTGTGTCGTACTTTATCGGACCGCTCATTTTGTCATCATTTGCTGTGGGCGACCGTGAGAAAGAGCTAACATCCTTACGCTCCTCACCAGGAACACTTGGTAAGCTGTTCAACTTGAGAACTTATCTGCGCCACGATAAATGAGTCAAGTATACGGTTTGGAGGAAGTGTCTGGTGGTCTAGATCGTTTGATATGAGCTGACTCTCATTCAGTCCCCTGAAAACGGCAATCAGCCGAAACATTGGGCAGTAAATAAAGTGTTCCTCTGTAAACCTTTTACGACTCAAAGAAAATTGAACAAGATCCGAACAAATTTGTGCATATAACATACAATTCCGGGCGGGCGGGTGTCATAGGGCCAAGGCTCTGCGCAGGTGGCTTACGGGGCAAGCTGGATATAATTTTGGAATAAAATGCAAGGAGGATATCGTTAAGGCAGAAACCAGCTTTCCCCCCCTCCCACACACACAATCGCCTTCTGCCTTTATGTCACCTTTCATTCTTCTGTAGAGGACGCAAACTGTCACTCCTGCCTCATTGATCCCATTCTCACAAAAACCAAAAATTTCCTGTTTCGTCAGGTTCGCCGGTTGAGCGCGCGAGTTCAAACCTGCAATTCAAAACTTCAAAAAGACTTGTTTACAACGAAGAGAAAATGAAATAACCCCAAAGTTGGTGGGTAGATGGGCAATGTGGAGTTAGGACTATGTGAAAAAAATTGTGAAAGATGTGAACTGAAGACATGGCAAGCTTTTTTTGGAGTTAGGTGGTCTTCCAGCCAACTGGACAGCCACCTGAGGTGGCTAAGAAAAAAGTCATAGATTTTCCTTCCTTCATATAAATTTTTCACATATTTTACCCAACTTTGTTCTACATTTAAACTCTACATCTGAGTTTTTGAAAAAAAAGTTTTTTCCTTTTTCCCTAAACTCCCTCTTTCTCGTCTAGTATAACCCTCCAGATATTTTGTATGGCGGTGGCAAGCCTGCTCCAAGCGCGCAAGGGCGCGCGTCGGACACAGCACGCCGCGCATTCGGAGAATACAATTAACTTTAGTTCTTTTTCGTCTTTTGAATGTCGTTTTTATGTTTTGTTTGTTCCATTATTTCGTTATTCGTTTTGATCCGTTCATGGGTCATAGGTGATGTCGTTTTTTTTCTGGGGAAGTCTACGTGGACTTCGTTTTTGAAGAACTGAAAAAGCCACCTTATGACGAGCCCTGCGTAGGGCTACTTATCGATCGCCACTTATGAATTTTCTGCAAAATCTGAGCTACCGGACTGGAGTTGGCACAGCATGCTGACTAGAAGGCAGTTTCAGTTTCAAGGATTATTGATTACATTTATCGCTTTTATTCGACTTCTTGCAAAGTTCAAGCTACGGTGTGATAGTTGGCATAAGAAAGTAGGGGAGCATGTTGATTACGAATGCTATATTAGTTCTCACAATCAGAATTATCGATGATTTTTATCGATTATTTATGGATTTTTTGAAAAGTTTGAGCTACGAAACTGGGAGTTGGTACAGGGAGCGGAAGCATGCGGATTGCAAAACGTAATCGAGGAAGGGCACTAAAATATACTAGTAGGCCTGGGACGAAGAAATATCCTATGACAATAGGGCATGTAGCATCTATCATAAGTAAGGGCAGGGCCGGGCGAAACCGATTATGTCAACTAGTTACTTCATAAAAGGGGGTGGTTTCCCAAATTTTTTATTCTCTTTGGAAAACTTAAGAAGTGTATTATTAGCGTGTCATATAAAACTTGCCGTTTTTGCGCAATAACTCGCGCATCATTTCTTCGCATAGCTTTCTTAGTAGCTGTGCACCTGGTTCCCCTTTGTTTTTTGAGAAAGGGTTCGCTTGAAGTCGCGGCTAATGGACTGACTCGGTTTTGCGCCAACTAAAGTAATAATTGTTATTAAACAAATTTTTGTATACTTTCAGCATTCTAGGTTTTACAATGCCATTTTTCTCACTGTCGAAGAGTTTAGTAACTTCTGTTCATTCACAAAAACTGTCTACGGAGCAGCTTGCAAAATGAAATCATGTAATTTGAATATGATGGCTTGTGCGCCCGCAAGTTTTGCATATTAAAGCAAGGTCATAAGCAGTATGTACATCATTTAAATATCTCTCTGCTTTCTTTACGTTATGACATAATTCGGAGGATTACTGTGATTACTACGGGCCCTGCAGAGCAACTATGATGTTTCGGCAACTGCTAGAGTTCTTTGTAAACTAGCGGAACGAAACAGAAGAATAATACCCCAATTTTACGCGTACAAGGCGCACCTTTTTTGATTTTTCAATCAAGCCCCTCAGCTGCTCCAAAGTATTTCGGAAAGCGATTCCTATGCCGTACGATTCTGTTAAGCGATAAACAGCGCGGCATAGGGTCCTTCGGTTGCGAAGTCTTTTGGCGTATTTGGGCTAGTCATTGGAAAAAATCTCCCGCGCCTTGTACGCGTGAAATTAGGGTACTTACAATATACACTCATGCGGATGACAGTGCTTACCTACAGCCAAATATGGATGTACGAGGCAGAGATTCTTTCTCAACTAACATGAACTAGAAGCAAACATGCTTGCGGTAGGGTGCGTACTTTGAAAAGTATGAAATTTTTGAGGCAAAAATAGGGAAGCGATGCGTTTTCTAACTATACTTTAGCAAAAAGAGTTGTAGGCAACTCTTTTAAAAAACTGTTTATGTTTAAAAATTAGCTACATTTAGGCCCTATGCTATATGAATTTGCCAAGTTTGGTACATCAAGTACGTTCTCAAGCAGCACTAATGATTTTTTTCAGGTGGCATCTAAATATCATTTAAGCACTTGTATAATTGAAAAAGTAATGAGTACAACTGTCGATGCCATTTTTTGTTACCTCACCAACACTACCGAATTTATAGCAAACAATCGTAGTATTAGTACTGAGGAACACACATCAAGGTGAGTAAGACATTTGTACACCTCGTTGAAAATTCCTTTTGAAAGCAGTTAATTATAAGAATTCATTTACTTCTAGATCATATACATCAACAACATTGAGATAGATCAGCAGTAACTATTTGAGCTTTTGAACAAGCAGGGATAAGAATTAACTGGCCCCCAAATCTGCTATAAATGCAAATGATTTGAAACTGAGATTAAATATAGGCCATGAATTTTTAACTTTATCGGGACATGAGCTCCTGACCTCTTTGGTAAAGGAGCTTTAAGTCACATCTTTTGCATAAGCGTACTTAGAAATTAAATAGTCAGATCGCAATCAGTTTTTACCATTCATTTATCCTTGCCTGCTGTGGTCTGCATTGAAAAAACGGTGTAATTCATAACGTTCAAAGAGTTAGGCGTATTATACGTCAACAAGTTGATCTGATAGTAACCTCAAAACTTCTTTCAGCCTACCTTTCAAATTTCGATGATATGAGTACCACAAGATTTACAGAAACACGCCACTTCATGCCAACGTTTGTCAAACCCCTTGCCGGAAAGAAATTTTTCAAACTGCCACTGCTTCACAAAATCTTCAAATTAGGAAAAAGGGAAAGATAATATTGAACAAAAATCTATTCAAGTATTATAACAGCTAGTAGTAACTAGTACAGTAATATAATGTAACTTCGAAAAGAGATCTTTTGGCTGCATTTTTGTGTATCAGAGCACAACGATCAAAAGCTTTTTGTGAAAGTTGTATTCTTTGTAAAAACGTCGAAATTGTCTTCTTTCCGAAGTTCTTGATTATGATGTTGTTTGTAGTACTGGACTTTCTATATCAACTTTATGCGTTAGAGTAAAATTTTCTTTATTGATTGAAAAATTAACTGCTTTTATTGCCTTTTTTTATTAAAAGTATTTTCTTCTTCCAAAAGCATTTATAGCGTTTGCCAGAAAGAATTTATTACAGAAATGGTTGTGACTTTCCTGTGCCATGTGAAATTCCAAGCAAAATTTCTGCTGAAATTTTGTATTGCACCATGAGAGTAGAGCCACAAAATTGGCGCTAGAAAAATTAAAGCCTGCATCAGTCATTATCATCCAGTTTGAAGAAGCATTTCTTACATTTTTAGAAAAACTGGGAAGCGCTCTTTGTACGAAACTGTCTTACTGTTTTAACTCCCATCAACCATTTTCAAAAGAGTTGTCATTTCTCGAAACGGAGAGTATTTCAAGTTGTTTCGCTATTTCTGAGTTAAATCACCTTCTGCTGTGCCAAATCGGATGGGCGCGAAGTGTGCCAAAGCATTTTTTTTACCTTTTTTACATATTTGAAAAAATTTGATCTATATGTAGTGCTCATTAAGATTATAGTAATTGAACTCAAACATCGGGGCTGCTTGTCTGTAGATTTTGTTCTTACGTATGTAGGCACACTTAGGGTTCGCATGTACGCTCTATTTATGAACGGATATAAACCGCACATACACTTCATAACGGTATGGATGCCATAGCTTAATTTTTCGCTAATTCTTCTTATTGATATAAAATCTTTTGATCTGTATCGATTAACCTTCCAGAGTGGAAACTGTCCGTTAATTTTTGATCGATTGAATTTGCTTTCGCAGACTAAATTAAGGAGTAAGAGTTGATACAAGAGTAAGTAAGCGGTGGGATATGTAATAACAGTAAAATTACTTGCAAAACCATATAAACTTCCTAATTATCTCTAAATATATATATAAAGCAGAAAACCTGCGTGTTTGTGCACATTTCCTATAGTCATGAAGAATGAGCGGTGAAGCTCATTTTGATCTGCTGGTCATCAAGATATGGTAGAAACTGTAGGAAGCGAATCCGAGACGAGTCGGAATCAAAAGAAGAGTAAGTTTCGCTACATAATCAAGCACGATGGATTGGCTCCGGAACGGGGTCGAAACCCAGGTTGCCAGCTCGGTTCCAATAAGGTAGAATGCGGTATATGTTCTCTTCATTTGCGAGAACCAGTTTGAATTATAAGCTGAAGGCATCTTTTAGTGATCTACCAAGTTTTAAATTATACTACTCCTAGTGAAAGCGCTTATGCAAATGGAATAATTTTGTCTAAGACAGCAGCAAGCAGCAAAAGATTTCTGATAATGGCATCATCAAGTTACAAGTATTGCATCAAGTCCCCTTTTTTTCAGAAGTTAGCTAAGTGGCATTTTGAACAAGATCTTAGACAATTACATCAAAAAGTTCACGGCCTCAAAGCGTGTTACATGGCATGCAGCGGCCCATGTATTTTTACCGGGAGCGCCACGGTCGGTCAATTCGAAAACAAATTATCCTGAGCGTACCCAACCAGATCACTCAGCAAGCCGCGGGCCTTGTTAAAGACCCGCCGCGAAGTGGGGCCACGCTAAGTGTAATGAGATAAGATATCGCTTTTTGGATAGCATCTTATTGCGATGGCATATTTTGATGTACAGTAAGAGGCTGTTTTCGTAGAATTATCCTTTCTGTGCCACACACGTTCTACACACGATTAGCATGCCTGCACTTTTCAGATTCTGCCGCTTCCAGAATAGACATTTGGTTTACGATGAATTAAACGACATAGTTGGAAAATCGAGAGTACAGTTCGCCACTGTCCGGCATCCTGTGCAGCGATTTTTGAGTGGATTCGTGGATAAATGTATTTGGTAAGAAACCTACAATCGTGATAGCTCTTTATCAAATCAAAAAGCAGTGGATTTATGAATTATTGTCACTGTCTAAGTATGGTGGCAAAATTTACAAATTGCATTAGTACTCGTCAGTTCAGGTATTTAGTACTAAATATAAGTAGCTACAGCTTAGTGTTTAGCAAAAGCTATTTGTGAGGAAAACCTCCTTGTTTTCTGACAGAACTAAATTTCAGTGAAGCCGAAGAGGTGAAAAAGCTGTGCTTAAAGTGTAACGACAATCTGATTTGTTTCATTGAAAAATTATATTCGTATTTGAACGATGTTTATGCAAGTAATAAGACTCTCAAAGGCTATAACTACGACCTTGCGCACTTCGCACCGCAGAATTGGTACGTTGTACTTCATGAATGGGTTCTTGAATTAAGTTCACTTCACTAGGTACTGCAACTTCTATAATCATTTTGATGATTATATTATAATTCGTCAAGGAGAAAACCGAGAAGAGATTATGGAGCATGCGCAAAAACTGGAGATGATTCTTCGCAGTGCTAATGTTCCCGACCGGTACAGAAAGGAGATAAACAGACAGCTGCTCAGTAAGCGATTTCTGTTTTCCATGATGTCTGTAACACTTCATAGTGGGGGCGGGGATGAAGACTGTTCGTTGAACTTTTACGGGAAAGTTAACAAAAATTGCGCTCAACTTTGACTGTCTAAAAATCTAATCAACAAATGCAAGACTCGTTTTTCTGCGACTCGATGAGCAAGTTCAGCAAACTGTAAGTATAGCAAAGCTTGTCCTTCTAACTCCAGCGCATCTTTCCCAATCTGACGAAAAAGAGCAGACGTCATCATTTACCGTTGCTTAGATTGGAGCTCATCAACAAAGCTGTCAATTTCTGGAAAAGGACTTAAGATTCTGAAAAAAAAGTTTTTATCTCTGATAAGATAATCTTGCATTCCAGCGCAATATTGCTGGCAAGTAGAACTAGCAGAGTACAGCTAATTAAGTCCCATAATGCAAATCTTCCGAATATTTCGGAAAAACATTATCGCAGCTTTTCCTGCTTCGCCTTTATAGACTCAATCCTGCATTGCCTTTTCAGTTGAAGCCACAGCGATACAAAACTAGTTGTGAAATTATTGTTAAATATTTACATTAAATTTCTTCGCTTTTGCAAACGCGTTGTTTCAGTCGGAAGTTCGCCTCACAAAACCAGCGGATCAATGAGGCGATCAGAGCTTGAGCAAACTCTGCTGAAGAATAATACACTTCTGACTCTTTTTACTAAAATATATTACTATGATTTCATACTCTTTGGATTTCCTTTACCCATTACCATATGACTGTCGAATGCTGCTCTGCTAGATTTAACTGTTCAAATCGCATTATCTACGCTTCATGAGAAGCATGTCTGTTTAGTTCTGTTCTCCTCGCTTACGTGAATTTTTTTCTTGCAAATAAATCTTTCTAGAGTGTTTGCCAAATATGGAAGAGAAATTTTTTGGTTCGACTGGCAGCTTTTGGCAAAATACAGGGTGTCCAAAAATGTGAACACTTTTGATCGTAACTCTCTTGCTTTCATGTATTTCGCCGGATTGAGGCACAATTCTATAGAGCGAGGTTCAACTTAGATTTACAGTATGGAGCGAATCATCGGTCGCTCTTCATCACTGTATAATTACGCTAGGAACTTTGACAAAGATTTTTTGCTATTGAAAGCCATATTATGCTTCGGAACAAAACCAAACAAGCCAAAAACTCTACTCTCATACTATAGTAATGGAAGCCGCTGATTTCGAATTTAAAATTTTCACTTTACTGTGATGCTTCTTTCCAAGGTTATCCCAGGTGAACCGTAATAGCAAAATTTCCAGCATTTGTCAAGAGTGTGATTACATTGCCAAAAAAGCTAAGCATACTCGTAAAAAGTTCGGCGTGCGCGAAAACCCTAATGCACCATTTTTCCATTTTATGAACAACTTTTGTCAAATGGCTTATTTCACAGGAAATCACATGTGAGAAGTTCATATCGTAATCATACAGTAACGAAGAGCGACCGGTGATTCGCTCCATGCTACAAATCTAAGTTAAACCTCGCTTTACAGAATGGTGCAGCAAGCTTGGCGAAAGACATGAAAGCAACGGAGTTATTAACGATCAAACAGTGTTCACATTTTTTGGAACACCCTGTATATTAGGTCAGATCTGATGTTCGTGCCGTTTTCTCAATTAATTCGCAAATGTGGAAAAGAGGGAGACACACTAAATTATAGTCAATGCAGTTCCCCTACATCAACAAAAGCGAAAAAAAAATTTTCAAAGCAGTATTAATTTTGCATATCCAACAAACTAAAAGTTGTGAAATTTATGAAGATAGTGCAGCCCATGAACTTACCAAATACTCGAAAGGCTTCACACGATTTACTGAAATTGAGTTTGGAAATTAATGGGCAAACATGCTCTAGAAAATAAAGAAATCAGATTCTCAATAAGATTGTATGTATTTGTGTAACTGAGGGCTAGTGCTAGTGTTATATAGAGATTTCAACCTTGATAACTGGGCACACGAACAGAATGAAAGAACGAAAACAACAAGAAAAACACGAAATCGGGGGGAATATCCCGATTTGTCCCTCCAGCAGGGCTTTACACAGTCACTTTGGATCAATTCTCGGTGAGTTTTCACGTTGTGAGGTCTGGCTTTCCCCTGACAAGTTTTCGATTCCCGCGAGCCTCTTCTGCTCGCGGCTTCCCGTTTTCTTTCCCTTTTATGCCTTGCTGAGAGAGTCAAATTGCCTCTTCTTCCCGCCAACTTCGTATGGATGATCTCCGGTTGCATATTTCGACATTTGTGTATTCAAGAAACTTTGAGAAATAAGAAGATTGTTTGCAACGTTTGTATTTGGCAAAAGTAGCAATATGAAAGAAAAGATAGAGTGGCAAATGGCAGTAGAAATCCTTACCGGGGGAGAGATGAGAAGTACAGCATGTAAGTTTGATTTTGTTGGACTTGTCCAACAAAATAAGAGCAAGGTGTTAAAGTTCTTCTGCCAATAAAGTTGCTCATGAGGATGAATAAACGTTTTCATGCATGTGTCATATGGATTATGTGACATAAGTTTTGATACTTTTTGTTCTTCTTCTGTGGAAATTTTGGAACTTTGGCAAAGCCTTATACCTGACATGTACGAGGGAAGCACAAAAGGCTATCTATTAGCTCCCTTTAGGACTCCACTTTTAGGACATGAGATGCAGAAGGTACAAAGGCATTTCTATACGCTTCAACACATTTTCTCCTCCAGAAATTCCCTCATTTACTTTTTTTCCCTTTCTTTACAGATTTCTGAAAGCGTCAACTGTAAAGAAGGCAGTTAGGAAGTTTGAGCAGTTCAAACCCAAATTGGAGATTTTCCAAAAATGATCCTAAAGATGTCGAAAAATCAAAAATTATATTACATTATTTTGTGTGACATGTATCAAAGTGGTGCAAAAGTTTTCTTTGAATCAATCCAAGTCCCGAGCAGAATTAAAAACATCTCAAGCGCTATTCAATGTGAAATTTTTCTCTTTTCAAAAATTGTTAAGACTGTTTTAATGAACGCTGCGATAATCGCCAGACTCACATCCTTCATTTTTACCATCTTTAACTTCGCTAATTTTCAGAAATTTCATCCGAGACATTGAAGGTGACTTGAAAGTTTGTAGACAGGGTTAATTTGGCAAATTAAAAAAAATTTTCTGTTTTTGTGGCGTCCAGAATTAGTAAAATATTAGGTGATTGCAAAATTTTGTTTGCCAGTTCTTCAAAAATTCTTCCTCTCTTCTCAGCGCATTTTTCATTGAATTACTTCTTTGTGAAAGAGAAAAAACCATGCTCTTACAGCAGTACCTTCATGGCAGATTGTTGTGCGAAAACTCGAGAGCTAGGAGCACTTGAAGGAAATTATTTCATTTTGCAATCTTTGACATCGCTCAAAGTAGCTTAAACGTCACAGAGGAGACCGAAACAATCACTCGCCTTATTTTTACGGCCTGCTCCTTCTAGGTAAGCAAAGTCCTTGCTAATCTAGAGCAATTTTGTCATGATATTTGGTGACTTTCCGGTCTGCGATTTTCACGATAAAATTGCTCTCGAATAGCACGAAACTCGCTCAGCTAGAAAGAAAAGGTCGTAAGCCCCATGTTGACTTTCGGTCTCTGCTGTGACGTTTTTAGGAATTTGAGCGACCTCAAAATTCGCAAAACCGAAGTAATTTTTTCTACTCGCTTTTAAAGGCAGCGTCCAAGCTAAACCTAACCCCCTCCGATTAGTGTCGGTCCTTAATGTAGGTCCCAGAAAAGGGGCATCTGCGATGGTCCGGTCTTTTAACGTTGTCTCTGAATGGAGATAAGGGCCTGAAAGTCCCTGGCTACCATGATACTGTTTCTTAATCCACAGGTACAGTCGAGTATAGTCTGATATCAGACTCCGCCCACCAAGGACTGCTCACTACCTTGTCAATACGTGCCTCCCGACACGTATTGACAAGGTAGTGAGCAGAAGCTGCACACTGCACACTGCAATGCAACTGCACCCATGTCTGTATGTACCATCGATATCAACCCGCATTGGTCTTTTCCGCGCCGCACTGCTCTAGTGCGCACGCCTTGCATCGCCCATGCAAGACGTGGCGGGCGTCCACTCTTGGCGTCCACTTTTGCCAGCAGTCAATAGTTGATTTCGCGGCCAGCCAGATCATTTTGTTGCTATTTCTTCATTATTTTCTCTTCTGTTTTCAGGTTTTCTGCTGGAATAGTGATGGGCCGGCCATAATCCGATGGATAATATGCCGTTTTTCCAGTAACGCCTTGAAGGCTCAATATTTTATCATCTGCTATCATTTTGATGCTGTGTTATTGTTATTGTTTCCCTTCACTTTCGCTCTGAGGTTTGTCGTTATTAATAATTATGTATACTTTTGGTCTTTCTTGCAAAAACTGCAAATTCAAAACACTCCTTTTTGCAGAATGAATGTCAAACATTGTGACATATCCGATTTTGGATCAATGAACCAATAATAATAAGTTACCAATCTGGCAAGAGTTGGTAAAACGGCATATCATCCATCGGATTAGGGCCGGCCCATCACTTTTCCAGCGGAAAACCTGAAAATAGAAGAGAAAATAATGAAGAAATTACAACAAAGTGATCTGGCTGGCCGCGAAATCAGCTGATGATGAGTGGCAAAGCGCCAAGAGTGGACGCCCGCCACGTCGTGCATGGGCATTGCAAAGCGTGCGCAGTAGATCAATGCGGCGCGGGAAAGACCAATGCGGGTTGATATCGATGGTATGTATCGTCTGCACCCCAGAGAGGTTCCCATAGGTACCACGTCATCTCGCTGCCTTTCGCACTTTTGAACGTGTCAACCTCGGGCAATCCCGTTGAAATTTCAGGAGAAACGTGTCAAAAAGAGCGAAAGGCAGCGTCGCACGACGTACGCACGCTACGCACGCTGGTTCACATGGGAACCTCTTTGTGGCGCAGACGGTATGCATGTATGACAAGGTACAAGGTAGTGAGCAGAAGCTGCACACTGCACACTGCAATGCAACTGCACCCATGCAGTTGCAGCTCCTTCCCGCTGGCCTGCCGACGGGGACGAGCAATTCGAAACTCGTCCGCGCCCTCAAGACTGGGTCCCCAAGAATCGGGTTTTTTGTGAATTTTAGAGAGTTTGAAGTTCGGAACTGTAATCAGGGCCACGGAAAGGCCCCAGAATGACGAAAACATGGGAGGCCAAATTCTGGATGGACGCTGCCTTTAACTTTCAATCTTTTTCTTTTTAACTTGTGGCAAAGGTACTGTAGCCCTGTATTAAGTAA